TCTGAGAGCCCAGCTCACTTTGCATTTCTTTGGAGACAGCCGGGTTTATGCAGGAGTTTGTGTTTCACACCTCACCCCATCAGCCCAGGGGAGTTTGCACCAATCCCCCAGCATGGGATGGCCAAAGCATGGAAAAAAGTGCAGATTTTTCCACAAGATCCACGGGATGTGTTAAAACCCCATTGCTTCTCCCTCACGTGGACTTGAATCAGAGACTTCACTGATGTCAGCACAAGTATTTTCAAACCAGGCCAAACCATGCTCTGATTAGTCTTAATTTGATGTATTCCTGAATAAATATAAATATATTACAGTTGAACTCAGCAACAGCAATAAAGATGAGCAGCTGAGCACAGCACTGTGGTACACAATTATTATTTTTTTTCATCGTGGAGAAGTTATAAATATATCTTTTTATGAATGTGCTGTGACCTCTCCCAGTTCTCTTGCTCTCTCTTATATTTGCTCACCTGCTCTGCAGTCTCCCCTGCTGCACTAAGGAGGTAGAGATATTTTAGAAACTGGAAAACTGAGGTTTGATAGGGATACTGAGCTTCTGAGGATGCCTTTGGAGGAAGCAAACCTAAAATCCTGTTTGCTTGACTAGCAACACAAAGAGGTTGGCTGTGAATGGTATTTGCAGCAAAGAATAATTAATTCCTCATCCTGAGGACATTCTGTGGGGAAAAAGTCACTGTGTTGCACTGATTGCTTCATCCAGTGGCATCAATTAAAAGTTGTCATAGGGAAGTATGTGGATAACTGTTCTGGAAATCTGCATTAACCACTAAATAACCCCATGCAAACACATCTGCAATGATGGCTATCCACACCTTCCTTGAGAAATTATAAAAAAATGGATTCAAATTTTCTTTCCTTGTTATTTCAGAGTTTTGTCAGAATTTAGCGATGAGGTTTGCCATAGAAATAATCTGAATCTGCAGCATGTGCATAAACTGGATAAGACTATAGGAAATCTGGGATCAAGGTCTGTGTAAGTGGAAAAGAAGCCATATCAAGCTTCTCACTTCTGCAGGCGCTGAGAATAGCAGCAACATTCCAGCCCTGAGCATCACCCAGCTCCACATTTCAGGTGTGCTCATTCCTGAGAAATCATCCTTTCCCTTAGCATTGGAGGAGAGTTAGACAGGTTCCTGTCTTCCTAATAATGTTCCTGAGAAGTATCTTTCTTAGTTTGACATGGGACAGCTAAAAGGATAATTTATGAATGTTTTCACAAAGTGTCCATGCTAATGCTTTTCCTGAATTTAGTCTTCATCTCTTCTTGTAGCAAAGAAATAGCAGAAATACAAAAGCATGCAGTTTAACATATATCCTTAAATATTCTTAAAATGCCCACAGTCAGTTTCTGCTGCTAATTCTTATACTTTACTGGCTGTTTCAAAAATGTAACTTGAAGTATTTTAACTTACCAACTTTTGTTGCAATAAATTAACTCTGAAGTTCTTTGGCATAGGAAGGAACCATAAAAATGTAACCCAATACACAGGGTTTTGACAAACCAACAGCACCAAGTGTTATCTTCCCCTCAAAACCAGGTTAAAACAAAAGCCTAAATATTGTCATTACACTTTAATGCCAGCATTAACCTCTTCAGAGCCAGTGCTCTGTCACTCTAAAGATAAAGTGTGCCCTTGCTTTATCCTGGATGCTATAGAATAAGGCTGCAGTTGTTTTAACTGTGCAAAGAGCTGTTGATGATGGTGCACATAAAATAACCAGTACTTCATAGTTTGGAACTTTACCTGTGAATGTTAATGGCTCAATTCTGAGCTCTCCCACAGCAGCAGGGGAAGGAAATCCTGCCTGGGCAGTGCTAAAAAGGCATTCAGATTTAATGCCTGCATGCATGAAGGAGGGATGTCAAGGGCCAAATACCCAGCAAATTTAAAAATGGAGTTCAGCACAAGTAAAACAAACTTTTATCAGATCTAAAGAGAAGACATTTCTGCATTTGTTCAGCAGGAAAATCTCCTGGGCCCAAGCAAAGGATGTAACTGCTCTTTGAGGGAAACAAAAAGAAAAAAAAGTTGTCTTTTAGGCAATGTCTCCCTCTATGCTGTTGGCTCCCTAATTAAAAACACTCCTGGTGATGGAAGAAGAGTCTGTATCTGTGTTTAGAGTTAATGTACAAGGCAGGGTTCCATGGGCCTGTCCAGAACTCTTCCCACAAGCTCTGACCACAGCTTCTGAACTTTGGGATAAAGTTTAGCCCCAGGAAGCTGAAAACTGCATTGGGAATTTTACTTGCACATCTCAAAACCAGTAAATCAGGAAAAGCAGCCCTAAGCCAAACCATTGGTAGGAGCTTCCAGAGGGAGCAAGGCAGAGACATTTATACAGAGACATTTCTCTGTGACCCCTCAGGAACTTGTTCACAGACCCTCCTTCAGCCCTAATTTAGGCCAAACAAGGATAACTTGAGCTTAAAAATACTACAAACTCTGAAAAAACAGCATTTCTCCCCTTTCATGGCAGAGAATCCACTTCCACAAAACTCAGATGTAAAGAACAAGTATTTATAATGTTACAGCTGCAGTTTGACTCTGAAGACACCAAGTACAATTCCAGTGCTGGCAGCTGCTCACCTGCTCAGGAGCCCTGGCTTTTGTCAGACCTGCACCTGCACACCTGCCTGGGAAGGTGGAGGGAGAATTGTTCCAGGGAATGGGAATTTCACTCTTCCCCACTGAGAGCTGTCCTGGCACTGCCAGTTCTGGAGAGCCCCGGGGAAGGGTTTGACTCTGGCTGAGATGAAATGGGTTCTGCTGCTGCCCTGCACTTTACTAACTCCACCTATGCTACCACCTTCTCTCAGACCTCCAGGTTACTCATGGATCTGCTTCTCCTCGAGGACTAGCAGGTCATGGCACCAGCTACAATACTCTGCTGCTCCTACCTGAAGGACAGCAGCACAGCCAGGCAGAAGCAGTGCCAAAGCTTCGCCAGATTTCACCAGAAATCTTACGGAAGATTGGAGCTGTGGGTGTGAAACTCGCTGGGTTCTCATTCACCGGATGATCCCGCAGCCCGTCCCGGTGGTGCCCGGGCTGTGCCGCCCTGACCGGAGCGGGGCCGGGGCTGCCCCGCTGTGGGAGCCGCTCCGGGAGCTGCCCCTAAGCCGGGGCCAGGAGCCGGGCACCCGCCAGCGAACGGGGCTCAGGGGGAGCTTTGCAGAGCATCCTCTGCCCTTGGGAGAGCCCAGCAAAGCCCTGGCCGAGCCCGGCGGGGAAGGCAGGAGCCGCTGCCGGGGCATCCCCGCTGCGGGCCGGGAGGGAAGCGCCGGGGAAGGAGCGCGGATGCGACAGCCCCGGGCAGCCAAGGGGCGCAAAGTGACCCCGAAACCGCCCTCGGTAAGGGGTGGCAGGGCAGGTCCCCGTAGCCAAACCCAAAGCCCAGCAGCGCCCTGGCGGTCCCTCTGCCCCCATGCCCAGGCGAGCAGCGGAAGGGAAGCGGGAGCGGGCGAGGCGAAGCTCGAAGCGGGGACGCGCTGCGGAGCCAGACCCTGCCCAGGAGCCGGGGACACACGTGGGGACCCGGCCGGAGCAGGGGGCTCGGAGGGAGGGAGAAGCGATGCTCAGCTCCGCCGGGACCCCGCGGGAGCTGCTCCGCAGCGCAGACACGAGTAACGCACATCCCTAAAAAAACAACCAGCTAAAACAAATATAAAAAGGGCAGGGAAAGAAAAGTTGTCCAGACTTCAAACACTCATCAAACATACTGAAAAGATTGAATTATTTATTTCCTCTGGGGACTCCTGTAACCATTCATTTTTAATGGAGTCTAATTAAGAGTTCCCCAACGGGTTTTACCTTTGTAAATATTTTAGAAGACCTGGCGTATCTAGGCAAATCCTCCTCACAAAAAAAAAAAAAGAAAAAGAAAAAAAAAATAAAAAGGAAATAAAAAGAAAGCACAACAAGCCCAGGCAGAGCCGTAATCCCTTTCGCTCCCCGGCGGCCGAGAGAAGGAAGGAAGGCAGCCGGGCGCAGAGGCAACAAGTGGCCGCGGCGGCAGCGACGCTTCCCCAGCCCGGCTCCCGCTTCTCTTGAATAGAAACCAAACCTTAGGAGCGCGTTCTCCCTCTCCCGCCCCCAGAACACAGCCCGGCTCGGCGGGCAGGGAAGCGCAGCCCAGCAGCGCTGGCGGCTCCCGGGGCGGGCTCGGCCCTGCCCCGCTCCGCGCTCCCCGCACAAAGCGCCCGGACACCGCCGACGTGCCTGATAGAAAATTTATTGATCTCTCTTCGTTTGGAAGAAGGAAGCAAACGAGGACTAGGAACAGGGAAGGAGTATTTCGGTTACTTTTTTTTTTTGTTGTTTTTTTTTGTTTGTTTGTTTTTGGAAGGAATCCGGTAACAAAACTAAAACGTTTTTTATCCGATATGTCAAAACATGTTTCACAGTAAAATTCACAAACCCATTTACATAAGTTTACAGCTTAAGAAAAACCAAGACATACAACTTACTATAAATAAAAGAAACGCGTTTGCGACCCGCACAGCTCTGCTCTCTCCCACCTCCCCCTTTTCAAGGAATAAAACCTCAAAATTAAAAAGTCGTGGAAGCTACAGATTGCGGATGGAAACCAAGCGAGGGTCGGTAACAAAACACTTAATAAACCACAGCGATAACGTGAACAACCGAGTTTAACAACAAAAGCCCGCGGTTTTTGTTTATGTCATTGCAACGCTAGAAATCAAACTGGAAGATGATTTTTCAAAAAACTTTTAAGCGAATAAAACAGTGCCCAACCTAGCCGAAACCAGGAAAGGAGTTGCCGTGGTTTGAAAACTTCACAGCGGCTTCTAGGAGGCAGGAGTTGTGCTCTATTAAAATAACAACTTGCTCAAATATTATTTCTTGTACAAAAAAAAGAAAAAAAAAAAAGGAAAAAAAAAGGACACAACTAACGGATTTCCTTTTTAAAATTTCTCCAGAGTTAGTATTAAGTCTGCTAAGCCGAGCAACACTGCCGTACGTCCCGGTGTAGTCAGGGAGCGGTGGTGGGGTTAGGGATTAGGACGGGGAGGCGTCCGGAGCAGCCAAGTTTATATGTGAGTTAGTGGTACGGTACCATTCACGGCAGTCCCGGCACTCTGGTAGTGCTGGTGCACGCTGTGTAACCTGCTGCCCTGCAGGGCGGAAGGGTCTGTGGCATCCCCGCCGGGGGGCAGGTACATGCTGATCATATCCCGCAGGTCTCCCAGGCAGGCCCTCTGCGAGTGGGAAGTGATGGCCGGAGGCGGCGAGCTGGGCTCGGATTTCACCACGGAGCCCATGGAGCCCAGGCTCATGGCCGTGGAGGGCTGCTGGCCGTAGGCGGCGGGGGACATGCTGTAGGTGGAGGCGGCGTTCATGTAGGTCTGGGCCGTGGACATCATGGGGCTGTACTGCAGGCCCGTCATGTCGTAGCGGTGCATCTGCTGCAGCTGCGGGCTGTTCATGCCCGGGTGCTGGCTGTAGCCCAGCTGGTCTTGCATCAGCGAGTAAGCCCCGTTGGTCCAGCCGTTCATGTGGGCATAAGTGTCAATCCTCTGCCCCACCCCGACGGGGCTGCTCACCGCGTTGCCCCCCCCCGGGGCCAGCAGGTTACCGGGCAGCGAGTATTTGTCCTTCTTCAGCAAGGTCTTGGTCTTCCTCCGGGGCCGGTATTTGTAATCCGGATACTCCTTCATGTGCACGGCCCGCAGCCGCTTGGCCTCGTCGATGAAGGGCCGCTTCTCGGCGTCGCTCAGCAGCTTCCAGTCGGCGCCGAGGCGCTTGCTGATCTCCGAGTTGTGCATCTTGGGGTTCTCCTGGGCCATCTTCCGCCGCTGCCCGCGGGACCACACCATGAAGGCGTTCATGGGGCGCTTCACCCGGTCCTGGTCCGAGCCCGCTCCCGCTCCGTTGCCGGCCCCGCCGCCTCCGCCGCCTTTGCCGGTGCTCCCCGGAGCGGGGTTGCCCCCGGTGCTGCCCGGCGTGGGCTGCGGCGCCTTGATCTCCGTCTCCAGCATGCTGTACATGGCCGGGGCCGGTAAAAGGTGCGCCAGGGCGGCGGGCAGGCGGGCACCGAGCGAGGAGAGGAAGTTCGAAAAAAAAAAAAGAAACAAACAAAACAAAAAAAAAAAAAAAAAAAAAAAACCTGTCTGGGCGGCTGCCACGAGAGAAGGAGGAAGTTTCGGTGCCTGGCAGAAGCACCGCTCCCCGAGGTGCCGGCGGTGGCGGAGCTGCTGCTGTGCGGAGCGGCTCCCACGGGCGGCAGCGGGCGATGCTCGCAGGGATCGCGGGGGTCCGTGATTGACGGGCTATAAATGAGGGGGCGGCGGCCAATCAGCGAGCGGTTCCCGACAGCCCCACGCCGGCCGCGGCCAGGCCGGGGGCGGGCGGAGGGAGCCGGGCTCGGGGATGCCGCGGGTGCCGGGCCCCTCCCGCCGCGTCCCGCACCTGCCCCGGGGCACAGCGGCTCCCGCAGCTGCGGCCGGGCCGGGGGTGCCCTCGGGGCCGCGGGGAGGAGGAGCGGGGCGGAGCGCTGCGCTGGGAGCGGGAGCTGCGCGGCTGCCGGGCACAAAGGGGTTTGGGGCGCCCGGTGCCAAGCCAAGATCGGAGAGGCTGCCCGCAGACCGAGGGAGCCCGCACTGCACCCCCGGAGCGGATAAAGGGGCAGGGGAAGGATGGACGGGCTAAACTCTTCCACTCCTGAGCTGTCACCGGGGGGAGAATCTACATTGCCGTGCTGGGATCGGGCACGGCTGTCGGTGGGAGAGCGGCTGCCCCGCGGGGCCGGGATGGGTGGGTGGGTGGCTGCCGGGCATTCCCGGCCATCCCCACCTACACTCAACTCCGCTGCCACTTGAGCTTTTCCACTCGGCTGCCCCAAAAGAGGGGAGGGGGGGGTAGAGGGGACGGCGCTTGTGAATCCCCTGAGTTTCATGGCAACAGAAAGTTCTCTCCGTGTGAAAGAAAACTTTGGCGGCGGATATGTGAGTGGAGCGGCGCCCACTTGAGCTGTCAATCACCGGCTTCCCTGTCCGTCCCTCCCCTCCCTTTACCCCTCCTTCCCTTCCTTCGCCAGAGGCACGGACACCGCACCTGCATGGACAGGGCCGGCAGCTCGCTGGGAGCACCGCGGCCACAGCGCTCTCCACCGGGGACCAGGGCGGGCTGGGCTGGGCCGCTTCATCCCTGTCCTTCCTCATCCTCCCGCATCCTCCTCTCCAGCTCCGTCCGGAGCAGCCGGGCAGCTCTCCGAGCCGGGCAGCGCTGGGGCGGGAGAGGCAAAGCGAGCCGCAGGCTGCTTGGGGAAAGCCTCGCTGCCGGAGGATGCGGGCAGCATCGCCGCTGTGGCCATGAGCAAACTGCCCCAGGGGCGTGCGGGGCTCCGGGGAGGGTCAGGGGCCTTGAGGTGCGGACGTGTGTGAGCCTCCCGTCCCGTCCTGGGCGGCCCGGCCAGGAGCGATGCTGCCGCCGCTGCTCCCCGGCTCGGCACCGGGGGCACCCCAAAGACAAGACCGCGAGTGTAAGGACGGTAACCGGTCCGGGGAGGAGAAAACCTGCAGGGCAGGGCGGGGATGAGGAGCTGCCGGCCCTGCTGCAGCCCGCACGGGCTCTGGGGGGACGCTGGAACGATCGCGGTGGCGTGGAGGGGGTTGCAGTGAGCCGAGCTGAGTGCTGGTGGGGTTTAGCAGTTAAAGGTCTCGCTCGTTTTGTACGGATTTCTTTTTTTGACAAAATGATCTCTTGAACAATGTCGAAGGGGAAATAAATCCCGCTTGCGACTGGCTATGGTTTAGCCAGAACTTTGGTTTTTGCTTGGTTTGCTGCTGAGGTATTGAGCGAAGTCATAATTTGGCAGCCCGAGGGGAGAGGGTGGCAGCGGAAGGGTTGTTCCAGGCGGGAGTGGTTCGCGTGTAACTTTTGCAATATATTGGAAAAGCTTCAGCCAGTCGTAATTAACTTGTAACCCTCAATCTATTTTGGCTTCTCCAGTCGAGGTTTAAGACCTGCCCGGCTGGTAGGAATTCGGACTGATATATACCCTGACAATGCTTTGATATTTCTTTATATGAGCGTTTGTTGGAGGGACTGGACACGCTGGCATGCAACGAAAAATTGGGCTGTATGGGGAATTAGAGGGCGCGCTGAAATCCCCCTGAGTAATCTTTCCGTCAATGCTTAAATAAATACTACAACGTTAAGTTTCGGACTCTTACTTTGTCTTTCAATTCGTCTTTGAACTGCCTGAGTCTCAAATTAGAGATTTTCTTTCTTGTAAAAGCCAAGCTTTTCAACACTTTTAAAGTCCGTATTATTTCAAACCAATACATTTCTCTTGAACGCTAATCTTGTAAAAGAACTGAACCCGACTGAATAAAAATATAAGTACAGACTGATGGATTTCAGACTTCACAGGTCACTGTAACGCTCCCCACGCCGCACATGTTCTGAGGAAAACTTCAAAATCCGGCTGATTGCCATTTCCAGAGGGGGTGAGAGGACGCTGTGCTCCAGTCCCCCCGCCTCGGCGGCAGCGCTGTGTTTGCTGTGTGCGCAAACCCTCGGCCGGGATTTGGGGAGCGCGGAGCCGCCTTCCCTCGGGGCTGTCCCCGGGACCCGGCTCAGCTGCCCGGGGCTGTCGCCACCAGCAGCCCCTTCCCGCGGCCCCCCGATGGCTGTCGCTCTGTCCTTCCTTGTCTCTGTCCTTCCTTGTCCCTGCCCTGCTAACGCCGTGGGGAGCAGGAGGAGCGGGGCGAGCCCGCTGCTCTCCCCAAAGTTACCCGCAGTGCGCTTGGAGAGCCCCTTCCAGCACCCCCTTGGCAGCCAATTCCAGCCTCCTCCTGCTCCCCGGGAACGGGGACGGAGCCTGCGGAGCTGCCGGGACGCAGGGAAGGGGCAGAGAGCAAGAGGTGACCCTGCTCGGCACAATAAACCTGATGCCTGGAACCATTTTCTTAAATTCACTACGAGGGAAGCCCCGTGTGTCTGGTGGGGGTCGGGAGAACACTTGAGGTCGTGTAAATACAGTTGTCAAAGGCTGAGGAGCCTTTTATTATTGTTATTTATTTATTTGGGTGACAAAGGAGCGTGAGGCGAGATAAGGAGTTTACAGCACAACCCAACTCGAACGCAAGAGAGATGCCGAGATTGAAAAGGGCCATTTGAAAGGGTCTGTCTGGGGTTTCTGCGAGAGCAACGCTTAATAAGAAAGAACCATTAATATATGTTAATTGCGGCTCCAGAAGAGCTCGGGGGAATCTTGGAACTGTGACAGGGAGGATCGCTGGCTTTTAAAGAATAAGTCTATGTAGGAACCCGGCCCCGTCTAATCCTGTTATTAAAACATCCCCTTGGTCACCAGCCTAATTCCCAACTGAGATCAGCGAGGGCTCGTCCTCGAAATTTGCCCAGGCAAGGGAGCTGGGCGCCCCTTTCGTTTGGACCCTGCTGACCCTCGCTCGGCTGATCCTCCGAAAATGTCCAGCCTTTTAGCGATGCTTAAGATAAAAGTTCACGTGATCCCCGTTTCAGGCTGGCATTCACATCCTCCCCAGAAGTTTTCAGCGTGGTAATGTGGCTACTAAATGGGCCATTTAAGGCCGGTTCTACAGTTGAAGGTCGTTAGGAGATTTTTTTGGTTTTATTCTCTATTTAAGTGTCACGCCGAAACACAGCTCGAGATTGCCTTGTCACGCTGCTGCCTCCCTCGCCGCGGGGCTGACACGGCTGGAGCGACCTCCCAAATAAATAAATAACAAAATCATTAGCTCCGACAAACGAGCTCCAAGTCCTTCCCGTGGCTGCCCCGGAGCCTCGCCTCGTGGAGATCGCAGCTGTGCCACAGCCTCCAGCTGTCCCTGCTGCTCCGGGCAAGCAAGGGTTACTACTGATGACATCATTAAAAATCGCAACATTTAGGAACAAAAATCTGAAGTGCGTGGGTAAACCCGGGCAGCGTCGTTTGGTCATAGCTCGATCCCTTTGAACTGAGCCTCCCAGCGCGTTCAGGAGGCAGCGGTGAATGTTTTTTGGTGGTTTTTTTTTTTTTTTTTTAATCACTTCCCTCCCCCCGCCCCCCCAGCTGAACTTTTATTTGGCTTCTGACAATAATAGAGGGCTGCAAACAGACCTCTCGGAGCGCCCTCTGAATAGACCCTTTTCGAGCCCGGATTGTTTCCACCGCCACAAAAAAACAACCAGTAGCTCCCGTTTTTTAATTGGGTTGTTCCTGGCCCTGGCTCATTCAGGTGTTCGCCAGGAATTTGTTTATTAGCCTTTGACAAACAGCCCTTCCTGGCAATCGCCTCACGGAGCTGTCTTCAGCGGGAGGGGAGGGATGCGGAGGGGGCAGTTTGCTAATAAGGACTCTCTCCATCCCCGAGTTACCAATTAACAGAGTTCTGGAGGGGACCACCAGCACAGGATAACTCGCCAGGGCTCGCTGCGGAGCCCCGAGGAAACCAGAGATTTAGCTCATGTGTTTTCCCGCAAAACCACCGAGGGAAAAACGAGCCCGAGAATAGATGCTAAAGAGACCACCCCCGCTGCCCAGCGCCGGGCAGAAATCTTATCCCCGCTGGATGAGCCAGCAATAGAAACTTTCTGCGACTTCCCCTCGCTGTTACAGCGTACAGAACCCCCTGGAAGAATCATCCAGCCCTAGCACGGCTTGCCCGGGGCGCTGCTGGAGCTCCCATCCCTCACAAGGCGCGGGGATGTGGCGGGGACACGACTCGGTGATGGTCTGGCAGTGCCAGCTTCACCCGCTGATCTCCAAGTTTTCCAACCTGAACGATTCCATCGTTTTCTCACACCTCAACTCCGCTTGCCCGCCCCGCTCCGAGCGCCCCGGCAGGGGCAGCCCCGCTGGCCCGGGGACACAGCCAGGAGAAGGGACACAGCACCGAGAAGGGACACAGCCCCGAGAAGGGACACAGCCCCTCTGTGAGGGGACACAGCCCCGTGAAGGGACACAGCCCCTCTGTGAGGGGACACAGCCCCTCTGTGAGGGGACACAGCCCCGTGAGGGGACACAGCCCCGAGAGGGGACACAGCCCCGAGAGGGGACACAGCCCC